CCCCCAGGTTGAGAAACGCTGGGCTATGGAAACCCACTGGGTGATCTTTGGAAAGTTACAGCTTCCCAGCTGCAGAGGAAGGCAATGAAAAGCCCTCTATAAACACATCTTACCAAGAAAACCACATGAAAGGCTTGTATTAAGGTTGCTATAAGTATATTCAGTGAAATATCAATGTACACTATGAACAAAGGAGAGTCTGGGTTGTTGTGGGTTTTTTCAGGCTATATGGCCATGTTCTAAAGGCATTTTCTCCTGACGTTTCGCCTGCATCTATGGCAAGCATCCTCAGAGGTAGTGAGGTCTGTTGGAACTAGGAAATGGGTTTATATATCTGTAGAATGACCAGGGTGGGACAAAGGACTCTTGTCTTCTGGAGCTAGGTGTGAATGTCTCAACTGATCACCTTGATTAGCATTTGATTGCCTGGCAGTGCCTGGAGCAATCTTTTGTTGAGAGGTAATTAGATGTCCTTGTTTGTTTCCTCTCTGTTGTTGTGCTGTTCTAATTTTAGAGTTTTTTAATACTGGTAGCCATATTTTGTTCATTTTCATAGTTTCCTCCTTTCTGTTGAAATTGTCCACATGCTTGTGGATTTCAATGGCTTCTCTGTGTAGTCTGACATGGTGGTTGTTGTTGGTGGTTGATTCCGGCCATGAAAGCCTTCGACAATACAAAGGAGAGTCTGCTTGCAAATATTTCATGTATATTCATTTAATTCATAGCAAACCTCTGAGATAGGTCAGGTAAAGGGAGGAAGAAAGAAAAAGACCCAATCCAACATGCTGTCGCTCAGAAAGCCTTGGGGCTGAGCAGATACACAACCCTTAGTTTCCACCCGTCCTAATCCCCACTAGAGCTGAACATTTCACACCAGTATTTGCCAGAAATTTCAAATCTGTCAATGGCATTTCCTCCCTTGTTAACACAAAGACAGTGACATGGAATTGAGAGAGCTCTTTCAAAACAGATTGTGTCAATAATTGCCGTGTTTCTGGTTCAATGGACAAAACGAAAGGCCTCTGGAGAGGCTATAATGGTTTTTAGGCAGGTTTTCTTTATCAGATTGCAGTTTGCTTTCAGACTATACCATAGATTTTCCTTTATCTGTTCTTAGAAATCACCCATAACTTTTGGACAATGTTTGTGTTGTAAGCGTAGGTAAACGCAGTTCTTGTTATCAAGAGATCATACCAGATATGGTGCATTGATTGCAGATTGTGAATTTCTGGGAAGGTCTTCTGTTACACATGTGCAGGCAACCAGCAAAGAACAGTATCATGCCTAAGGCTGTGTTAGTTAGGATCAATATCATCCTTTGATCAATACCACCCTTAATAGCTTGGAATCAAGCTGTTCATATGTTCTACAACTACATACCACCCCAATTATTAAGAACATTGGCAGTGGCTCCTATCAGGTGGGAGAAACCAAATGAGGAAAGATTATGCTATTAGTGCCTGACGGTATGCTATTATTATTATTATTATTATTATTATTATTATTATTTGATAGACAACAAGATTAGTACATAGCAAACAAGATCACTATGCTGCTTTTGTATTTGATCACACTTGGGACTTACTTACTTAGGCGATCCCTCATTGGACGAGTAGGATAGTCTTCCATGATCAGTATTCTTGTGGATCCGTAGGTGACTGTGGAGCCCTGTTCTTGACCTGCATCTTCTCCCACAGCGAGGGCATTGGTTTCCAGGTGGAAGGCGGTCTCGGTCGGGGTTGGTTTGACGTGCCTTCCTCCTGGCACGTTTCTCTCTTTCACCCTCCATTCATGCCTCTTCAAATTCTGCAGCATTGCTGGTCACAGCTGACCTCCAGTTGGAGTGCTCAAGGGCCAGGGCTTTCCAGTTCTCAGTGTCTATGCCAGAGATTTTAAGGTTGGCTTTGAGCCCATCTTTAAGTCTCTTTTCCTGTCCACCAATATTTCGTTTTCCGTTCTTGAGTTCGGAGTAGAGCAACTGCTTTGGGAGACAGTGGTTGGGCATCCAGACAACGTGGCCGGTCCAGCGGAGTTGATGGCAGAGGACCATCACTTCAGTGCTGGTGGTCTTAGCTTCTTCCAGCACGCTGACGTTTGTCCGCTGTCTTCCCAAGAGATTTGCAGGATATTTCGGAGGCAGCACTGATGGAATCATTCCAGGAGTTGCATGTGATGTCTGTAGACAGTCCACGTTTCGCAGGCATATAGCAGGGTTGGGATGACAATAGCTTTATAAACAAGCACCTTAGTATCCCTACGGATGTCCCGGTCCTCAAACACTCTCTGCTTCATTCGGAAAAATGCTGCACTTGCAGAGCTCAGGAGGTGTTGTGCTTCGTGGGACACTTCCCAAGTGTCTAGGACTATGTGATGTATCAGCGAATAATGCATGCAGATCTGAGTAGGGTGGCTTTTTGCAGTTGACAGATGGCAGTTTTGTCAATGCTGATTGCTTTTAAGTGCTGGCCAAGGTCTTTAGGCACTGCACCAGGTGTGCCATTCACCCCTGGGTCCACCTTTACTGGCTTGTGCCAGAGTCTTTGCAGTTTGATCTATAAATCCTCACATCTTGTAAGCTTTTCCAGTTGATCAAACATAAAGGGTAACTATGAAAAACATTATATGTGAATCAATTTTAAAATACAGAACATTAAAATGGCTAATACGGGCATGACACTTTGAAAAACAGTGACTCATGCTGATGGCTAGCTACACATTGCTTCTCAGAAATGCACAATGCAATGCATATTCATTGTGCCTCTCAATACTTATACAAAGGCTACATTAGGAACAATTCTTGGAATTTCAATGAATCATTTAATAGCACCTCATTGTAGCTTTTGCAACTCTTGTCCTGCATGGTGCTTTGTCATGTTTATTGTTTCACAGCATCAGGCAGCAAGTGAAAGGGTTGTGAGTTCAATTGTGAAACAAGTTTTAGATCCAAAAGTAGTCACCTGACAATGGAGACAATACAAACGTGACCCAGAGGACCTATGCTACAAGACCAGGAACACTTGAGGATCTAACTTCTATGTGTTGTCAAAGGATTTCATGGCTGGAAATACTAGGTTGCTGTGAGTTTTCCGGGCTGTATGGCCATGTTCCAGAAGCATTCTCTCCTGACGTTTCCCCCACATCTATGGCATCCTCAGAGGTTGTGAAGTCTGTTGGAAACTAAGCAAGTGAGGTTTATCTGTGGAATAATTTCCAGGGTGGAAGAAACAACTGTCTGCTTGAGGCAAGTTTGAATATTGCAGTTGGCCACCTTGATTTGCATTGAATAGCCTTGCAGCTTCAAAGCCTGGCTGATTCCTGCCTGGGAAGTCTTTTACTGGGAAGCGTTAGCTGGCCCCGATTGTTTCATGTCAGGAATTCCTCTGTTGTTTGAGTTTTCCTCTTTATTTACTGTCCTAACATTCACACTTGCCTGAAACAGACAAAAATTCTTGTCTGTTTCAGTCAAGTTTATATATAAACTTGCCTGAAACTTGCCTTATATATGAAGTTTATATATCTGTGGAATTTACCACCCTGGACATTTCACAGATATATAAACTTCACTTGCCTAGTTTCCAACAGACCCCTCAACCTGAGGATGCCTGCCATAGATGTGAGCAAATGTCAGGAGAGAATGCTTCTGGAACATGGACATACACACAGCAACTCAGATCTAACTTCTTATTACCTAATTAAAAAATTAACTACTTTTCTCAAGGGTGCAAATATGTACCAGGGTATCCAAAATTAAGTTTTGTGTTAATTGTGGAGGTACAATGAAATGGTTTTAAAATATTTCATTTAATTTTTTTCTTTAAGTTAAATTAGGGTGTGTTATATTGTCAAACGTGTTTATTTTGATGTAATTGTTTGTATTCAATATTCGCCTAATACTGTCCTGAGTACTTTTGGAGAGATAGGGCGGTATACAAATAAAATGATGAATAATAATAATAATAACTTTTTGCCTCTGGGCCCACCGTTGACTGGAATATGTTCTTTCCTTGAAATCAAACTTGACTTTCAGGCTTAAAAGAGGTCCACATGCTTAAGTTAGTAGATTAATGCAGGTTACTTGAAACTGTGCCACATGTCATACTTTTAACCAAGGGTGTATAAAATGAAAAAGTTAACACAAGTGGAACCATTGAGAACAAAACTTTATTTCCAAGTTTTTACATAGCTTTTCCAAATACAATTATCATTTTGAATTGGTGTAATCATCTTCTAGGACAAGTTTTCTCCTCAGCTTCCAGTGTGAGAATAAGATTTCCAAAATTTCCTGACATTAAAATTTCAAGCCCCCATGGCAATTAGGTAAATTGTAGTCCAGGTGGGGGAATTAGGTAAACTCTAATCCAAGTACAGTAGAGTCTTGCTTATCCAACATAAACGGGCCGGCAGAACATTGAATAAACAAAAATGTTGGAAAATAAGAAGGGATTAAGGAAAAGCCGATTAAACGTCAAATTACATTATGATTTTACAAATTAAGCACCAAATGATCATATTTTACAACAAATCAACAGAAAAAGCAGTTCAACACATGGTAACATTATGTAGTAATTACTATATTTACAAATTTAGCACCAAACCATTGCAATGTATTGAAACAGCTGTGGATCCGGGCGGGAGGCAGACTGCGTTGGATAATGCAGAACGCGGGATGAGTGAAGGTTGGATAAGTGAGACTCTACTATAGAGGAAAACTGTGGCATAGACACTGAGAACTGGGAAGCCCTGGCCCTTGAGCGCTCTAACTGGAAGTCAGCTGTGACCAGCAGTGCTGCAGAATTCGAAGAGGCACAAATGGAGGGTGCAAGGGAGAAACGTGCCAAGAGGAAGGTGTGTCAAGCCAACACTGATCGTGACTGACTTCCACCTGGAAACCAATGTCCTCTCTGCAGGAGAACATGCGGATCAAGAATAGGCCACCTATGGACCCACTGCCCAGACACTACACTTGAAGGACCAACATCCTCTGACTATGAAGGATCACCTAAGTCAGTAAGTAAGATGAAAGGCAGGATTACAGACACAAAGGAGGTGTAGAGGCAAAAGGAATTTCTAGCCATGGAGATGGTGGGAAAAACAGTACTAATGACAACTGTTGGTTTGCCCCAAAAGACGTACTTTCTTTCCCTCCCCAACTGGTTTCCCCAGAAAAGAGATTCTTTACTCAGGAGCTCCTCTTGTTTGAACCATCCATGTCCAGGCAGTAATATGTTGTGCTTTAGCTTGCAAAAATAAATTGTGAATTTATCTCCATGGCAAATCACTTTTTACAATGCTTGCGTCTCCATCACACCTCCATTCAACTACCAAACATAATTACTGCAACTGCCAATCCGAATGAGAAGTTTCATTTCACTTTTCACAAGGATCGTCCTTCCCTTTAGATTTGACGCCTGCTGTGGTCTCCTTGGAGGTAAGATGACTGTGAGGTTCAGAACTTGAAGCTGTTGCCTTTTTTGCTTGAGTACCTTTGTGGGGCTGTTGGACTGAGCCACTTATCTGGCCTGGAGAAGGAAACAAGGAAAGAACGGCTTTGAAGGTAATTCAATTAGAAGAGGGGAAAGTATGGCTCTCCAAATATTGAGAGAAATACTAACATCAGTGCTAGCAAGGGATGATAAACATTATAGTCAGCCATTATTTGAAGGATCATGGTTTTGGGTTGTTGTAGGTTTTTTTGGGCTATATGGCCATGTTCTAGAGGCATTCTCTCCTGACGTTTCGCCTACATCTATGGCAAGCATCTTCAGAGGCACCTCACTACCTGAGGATGCTTGCCATAGATGCAGGCGAAACGTCAGGAGAGAATGCCTCTAGAACATGGCCATATAGCCTGAAAAAACCTGCAACAACCCAGTGATTACGGCCATGAAAGCCTTCGACAATACATTGATCATGGTTTTCTCATCTCAGTCCAAGAACGCTTCCAATAACAACATTCTTGTATTGTCGAAGGCTTTCATGGCTAGAATCACTGGGTTGTTGTAGGTTTTTCGGGCTATATGGCCATGTTCTAGAAGTATTCTCTCCTGACGTTTTGCCTGCATTTATGGCAAGCATCCTCAGAGATTGTGAGGTCTGACCTCACAACCTCTGAGGATGCTTGCCATAAATGCAGGTGAAACGTCAGGAGAGAATACTTCTAGAACAGTGGTTCTCAACCTTCCACATGCTGTGACCCCTTAATACAGTTCCTCATGTTGTGGTGACCCCCAACCATAAAATTATTTTCATTGCTACTTCAGAACTGTAATTTTGCTACTGTTATGAATTGTAATGCAAATATCTGATTGTTGGATTTATTTTCATTCACTGGACCAAATTTGGCACAAATACCCGATATGCCCAAATTTGAATACTGGTGGGGTTGGGGGAGGTTGGTGTTGTCATTTGGGAGTTGTAGTGGCTGGGATTTATAGTTCACCGACAATCCAGGAGCATTCTGAACTCCACCAAGGATGGAATTGAACCTAACTTGGCATGCAGACCTCCCATGACCAACAGAAAATACTGGAAGGGTTTGGTGAGCATTGACCTTGAGTTTGAGAGTGGTAGTTCATTGACATCCAGAGAGCACTGTGGACTCAAACATTGACTAAACTTGGCACGAATATTCCATATGCCCAAATATGAACACAGATGGAGTTTGGGGGAAATAGACCTTGCTCTTTGGGAGTTGTGGTTGGTGGGATGTATAGTTCACCAAGAGTCAAAAAGCATCCTGAACCCCACCAACAATAGAATTGGGCCAAACTTCTCACACAGAACCCCCATGACCAACGGAAAATACTGTGTTTTCTGATGGTCTTTGGCGACACCTCTGACACCACTCACAACCCCCTTAGGGGTCCCGACCCTCAGGTTGAGAAACCCTGTTCTAGAACATGGCCATATAGCCCGAAAAACCTACAACAACCCAACAACATTCTTCATATCAAATTATTTTCAGCAGCCCTCCCAATAAACAAAACGTCACATGACTGTTATTTCAGAAGGCAAGAGGATGATGGAGAGTTCCTTCATCATCCTCTAGCTTTCCAAAATAGTGACATATTTATTTACAGTATTTATACCCTGCCCTTCTCACTCCAAAGTGGTTAACAGAACACACACAATGCAAACATTCAATGTCAATTACACAATTAATAAGGACCGACAACTCAAACAGAGGTTTTTCCCCATCTTATTTCCGACATCTTGGAGGCTGTACTCGACTCCGATCAATGTCCTTTTAAGGACACATTTGCAACTTCCCACTGAAAGTGGTACCTATTTTATCTACTTGCATTTCTGCTTTCAACCTGCTAGGTGAACAGGTGAGCTGGGGCTAACGGCGGGTCCTCACCCTGTCTGGGCTCGAACTGCCGACCTCCCCATCTTGCAGGATTTTTCTGCAGCACAGTGGTTTAGGCTACTGTGCTAAGCCCGTCCCCATAGGATAACACTTTCTGGATACCTTAATATGCAGAAGTTATCCCCTACCTTTTAATTTTGGAAGAGAAATTCTGTTTTGCAGTCTAGTTCAAACATTAATATTACAGATACAGACAGTCTCTAAGTTACGAACAAGATAGGCTCTGTTGAGTCTTAAGTTGAATTTGTATATAAGTTGGAACGGGTATATATTTAAGTGTAACTTCAGCTCTTTCTCTCTCTCTCTACACACACACACACACACACATATGGGAACAGAAAATGAGGAAAGTGCTTTTGAGCAGGAGCACAGACATCAAAAAAAAAAAAAACAGCACAGATGTGTTAACTTTTCCTTATGCTATCCAAACCTTGTATATGTGTGTGTGTGTGTGTATGTATCTCTGTGTGTGTACATGCTTTGGATAGCAAAAGGAAGGGTTAACATCTCTGTGGTGTTCGTTTTGCTGTCTGTGCACCTGGTCAAAATCACTTTCCTCACTTTCTGTCCCTGTGATACTTAATATTTTCAAAAATTAGGCTTTTTTGTGGAAACATCAATTGGCAAAAAGAAAATGGAGCAATCTTCTTTGATAACTCTTTCAGGAGTGAATTTCCCTTCCCAGGGGTAGATTTCTCTCACTTCCTGTTGCCTCATCCCTGTGATTAAGTTGAGATGAGTACTCTGTAAGTCAGATATTTGTAACTCAGGGACTGCCTGTATCTAGCAATGGAGAATTTTCCAAAATTCTAATGCCACAGAGCAATGTTAAAAATTATCATTTTCTACTGAAAAACACACACATTTTGGAATAATATTTATTTATTTACAGTATTTATATTCCACCTTTCTCACCCCGCAGGGGACTCAGGGCAGATCACAATGTACACATATATGGCAAACATTCAATGCCAAAGACACACAACAGAAATAGACAAACAGTCAGAGGCTGTTTAACTTTTTCTGGCTGCCAGGGGAACTGTCACTTTCAGCGTCCATCTGCGATGCTGATGAAGTACTTCCGCATTCCCCGCATGCTTTTTGTGGGAGTGCTTTGCTGGAGTCTTTTTTATAGCCTCGTAAATTTTGTTCAATTAGCCTGGTACCTAATTTTCCTACTTGACAGATGCGACTGTCTTTCGGGTTGCAAAGGTCGACAACAAGCTACACAATTGGTCGGAAGCTCACTCCGACCCGGGCTGGCTTTGAACTCATGACCTTGTGGTCAGAAGTGATCTTAATGCAGCTGACACTCAGACAGCTGTGCCACAGTCCTGGTGCTATTTTTCTATTTTTTTAATAGAAAAAATGTAATAATAGACTTGGTTAGAACTTGAAATATGTTTTGATACTTTAGGAACAAAATGCACTATATGCAACTTGATCTTACATAAACTGCATTATTATATGGTCAGTGTGGGCTCCTATAATGCAGTGCAATGTGAAAAGGACAATCTGCAAACCTGGCTTCTCCCTTCTTGTTCCTGGAGTTAGAATACATGAAATGAAACAATTACCTTTTCCTCCTGCATTGGCTGATGCCTGATTCTCTAGTAATGCCTCAGGCTGTTCTGACCACAGTTTGTAGTTAGGATTGCTGAGGAAACGCTTAGTTAGACCACACTTGAGACACTGCACGGCAGTCCACCGCTGATTTCGGCGCTCTAGTTTCAGAAATGAAGAGGGAATGAATCAAGAAATTGCCTCAAAAGATCTTCTTCCCTGCCTTGCCCATTTTTATGCCTTACTTAGTAAAGGTAAAGGTTTCCCCTGACATTAAGTCTAGTTGTGTCCAACTCTGGGGGGTGGTGCTCATCTCAGTTTCTAAGCTGAAGAGTCAGCGTTGTCCGTAGACACCTCCAATGTCATGTGGCCAGCATGACTGCATGGAACGCTGTTACCTTGCCACCGGAGCGGTACCTATTGATATACTCACATTTGCATATTTTCAAACTGCTAGGTTAGCAAAAACTGGGGCTAACAATGGGAGCTCATCCCGCTCCCCGAATTTGAACCGCTGACCTTTCAGTCAGCAAATTCAGCAGCTCAGGTGTTTAATCTGCTGCACCACCAGAGGGCCTCTATTCAAGAGAACCTACAGACTTACTTACAAAGAGAATTCAAACATTTCTGGGAATCAGAGTCATAGAGTTGGAAGAGACATCATGAACCATCCAGTCCTGCCATGAAGCAGGAAAATTGCATTCAAAGCACCCCAGACAGATGGCCATCCAGCCTCTGCTTAAAGGTCTTGCTGCCCTGGAGAGCAGGACCTGGAGCAATGGCTTCAAACTACAGGAAAGGAGATTCCATCTGAACATTAGGAGGAACTTTCTGACTGTGAGAGCTGTTCAGCAGTGAAACTCTCTGCCCCAAAGTGTGGTGGAGGCTCCTTCTTTGGAGGCTTTTAAACAGAGGCTGGATGGTCATCTGTCAGGGGTGCTTTGAATGCAATTTTCCTGTTTCTTGGCAGGGGGTTGGACTGGATGGCCCACGAGGTCTCTTCCAACTCTTTGATTCTATGATCTCATGAACACAGTTCTAAGGCAAAAACAAGCTGTGCTTGCCAGTAGAAATGTGGTAATCAATCTGTCAACATAATCTGGGGAGGCCTGGAGTAATTCAAATTTATACATGACCCTACTCAGTGATCTTTCAGATATATATATATGGCCCTTCACAGAGATTTTCAATGCTTTACTTTCCCAACTTTTGAAATACATTACATTGCACCCACAGCTCTCTACACATGTTGTAACAGATCCATCAATCCCTCCAGAGCAAGGAACACCATTTAGAAACCTCCTTAAAGCACTGCAGTTAAGGAGGAAGAGACTAGGCCACTCACTTCTTTGGCGTACAGTTGCGCTGACTCCAGGGACAAGGAGGGAGAAGCAAGATTTACAGATGGTTCTTTTCACAGAAGGGTCTCTGAAAAACAAACCAAAATGAGAGACAAATGAAATGTCTTAGTCCTGAAAGTTCAGAATTCCTTATGGGGTAAGAGTAGCCCTCAAGATAATAATAATAATAATAATAATAATAATAATAATAATAATACAGGGTTAGTCAAAATGAATAGGCCAATAAGAAAATTAATTTTAGACGAATGTATGTTTATTGTAACCAAACTACAGCTACGTAGCGACAGATAAACTATCAAAGTTTTGTCTCACCTTCAGAGATGTTCGATATGGGCGCCCCGTGTGACACGGCAGATGTCCAAGCGATAGTCCAGTTCATTCCACATCCGTTGCAGCACATCCGACGTAATGGCATCGAATGCAGCAACGTCTGGGAAGGTGTTCGTTGAGGTTCTAACCCTAACCCTAACCCTATCCCTAACCCTAACCCTATCCCTATCCCTAACCCTATCCCTAACCCTAACCCTAACCCTAACCCTAACCCTAACCCTAACCCTAACCCTAACCCAAACCCTTGAAATTCTCGCTGGACCGTAATTACTGACATTGTTTTAGCAAATGTCATCACACAAAACGCCTTCTCTTTGCTTGATTCCGCCATTTTGAAAACAGCGACCCCTAGCGACGCCTAGCGGCATTAACGTACATGTGTGTTGCTCAAAAAAAACTTTGATAGTTTATCTGTCGCTACGTAGCTGTGGTTTGGTTACAGTAAACATACATTCGTCTAAAATTAATTTTCTTATTGGCCTATTCATTTTGACTAACCCTGTACTTTATTTATACCCCGCCTCCATCTCCCCAAGGGACTCGGAGCGGCTTACATGAGGCCAAGCCCAACAACACATCAATAAACAAGAAAGCAATAAACAAAAAAATAACAACAATACAGTTAAATAAATCACATATAAACATTAACATGCAAGGATTTAAAAACCTATGGCCGGGCCAGATGTAATAGTTAAAAATTAAAAAATAAACGCTGGGCATGAACAAGGTAGGATATATCTAATAGGAGGGTTTTAAAGAAGTGAGGGGAGCGCAATCCAAGCGGATAGTTAAAGTGCATTTGAGGACATTTTGCTGGGAATTATTTCCATATTCCAGGAAGGCACACTGGAACAGCCATGTTTTCAGGCTCTTCCTAAAGACTGCCAATGTTGGGGCATGCCTGATATCCCTGGGAAGTGAGTTCCGGAGTTGGGGAGCCACCACCGAGGAGGCCCTCTCCCTCATCCCCACCAATTGCGCCTGCGAGGGAGGCGGGAGCGAGAGCAGGGCCTCTCCAGATGAACAAAGAGACCGTGTAGGTTTGTACACAGAAATGCGGTCATGCAGGAAGGCAGGTCCCAAACTGTTCAGGACTTTGTACCTTGCACCTTGAATTGGGACCGGAAAATGAATGACAGCCAATGTAGCTCCTTAAACAGGGGGGTTGTAAGTCGCACCAGTTAGTAACCTGGCTGCCGCCCGTTGTACCAATTGGAATTTACGGTCCGTCTTCAAGGGCAGCCCCACGTAGTGTGCATTACAGTAATCCAATCTGGAGGTGACTAAGGCATGGACCACCCTGGCCAGATCCAACTTCACAAGGTATGGTTGCAGTTGGCGCATGAGTCTTAATTGTGCGAAAGCCCTCCCAGCCACCGCCGACGCCTGAGCTTCAAGCGTAAGTGATGAATCCAGGAGGACACCCAAGCTGTGGACCTGTGACTTCAGGGGAGTGCAACCCCATCAAAGATCAGTGAGTCCCAAATACTAGTCCTCCATATGTTTGGGACTTTGACTCCCAGAAGCCTAAGTGCTTTGGTCAAGGTGCAAGTCCTATCCCCCGTTACCCATCCAACACAATCCTGCTACTCACTGTCTTAAGACGAGCCTCCGGCTGATGCTGTTCTGGGTGTGGCAATAGAAGCGAGCCAATTCCTGGTTCTCTGGGTTGCTTGCAAGGACACAATGTGCTGCCTGTTGTGGGGATTGAAAGAACGTTAAACATCTGTATCACAGACACCCTAAAGAGTTGCCCAGGGCTACGTTCTTTCCACATGACATACATACACTGAAAGATGGGTCTTAGGAATTGCTGTTAGGAATTTTGGGAGTTGAAGTCCAAAACAGCTGGGGGGGGGGGCAAGTTTGCCAAAGCCTGGTCTAGATGTCCTTTGTGGATTCTTTCCAACTCTACAGTTCTCCGATTTTCATGGTAATAGCATGGTTTAAGTGTTGGATGACAACTCTGGAGACCATACAGTAGCTCAAATCTTTGCTCAACCATGAAATTAACCGGGTGATCTTGGGCAAATCATATTATCTCAGCCTCAATGAAGGCCTCCTCTGAACAAATCTGGTCAAGAAAACCTTATGATATGACTCACCACAAGTTGAAAATGACTTGAAGGCCCACAACCACAAAACAGCATTTCACAATGGAAGAACATTGGAGAAGGCCATCCAAACCTTATGATATACATTTAGAGCACATTTACACAGACCATTTTACACAGTTTCAAACTGGTATTGAGTCTCTTTAGGGGGAGAGATAAAGCAGGGTATAAATACACATAATACACATAATAATAATAATAATTTCTTGAAGAAAATAATATCTTGCAACAAATGAAAAAGCAGGGGCACAAAAGACCAGTTATTAATTGACAAAATGATTATGGAGAACTGCAAAAACCAAAAAAACAATCTTCACATGACATGGATTGATTACAAACAAGGCTTTGACTCACTCCCACACAGTTGGATCATCAAGTGCCTAGACACCATTGGGATTTGTAAAAACGTTGGCACTTTTATTGAAAATATGATGAAGAACTGGAAAACTGAACTGTTTGTTGGAAATGAAAACTATGGACTTGTCAACATCAGAAGAGGAATTTTCCAGGGAGACTGATTGTCCCCACTGCTTTTCATCATTGCCATGATCCCTCTGTCAACAATCTTACAAAAAACAAACCTCGGCTATCAAACGTCTCAGAGATCTCACAAAATTTCACATCTGCTGTACATGGTTGACCTGAAGCTGTATGGGGAAACCGAAACTGAAATCCAGTCTCTGACTAACACTGTCCGAATCTTTAGCACAGATATCAACATGGAGTTTGGTTTGGACAAATGTTCGACAGTGGCACCGAAGAAGGGAAAAATCACTGAAAGTGAAGGCATAAATATGCCCAATGGCCAAGCAATCAAGTGTCACCAGCCAGAGGCCTATAAATATCTGGGCATACTACAGCTGGATAACATCAAACATGAACATGTGAAAACTATGGTCAGCAAAGAATACATTCAAAGGGTCAGAAAAATTCTCAAAAGCAAGCTCAATTGAGGCAATGCCATCAAGGCCATAAACACCTGGGTCCGTAGCCAGGATTTTGATTGGGGGGGGGGGGGGCTGAGTCTGAGTGAAAGAGGGTCTACCCTAGCAAACCTTTTGTATCGTTACCCCAATACCCCCATGCATATGGGATATATTGAGCATGGTGATCAGATCATGATATGAATAAACATAACAGTTTAAATAATGTACCAGTAAGGCCTTCTCGCAGACCACCCTGAGAATTTCGGGGGGGGGGGCTGAAGCCCCTCAAGCCCCCCCCCTCGCAACACCTGGGCCATACCTGTCCTAAGATATACTGCTGGCATCATAAACTGGACACAGGCAGAACTGGACAATTTGGACAGAAAAACAAGAAAACTCGTGACCATTCATAATTCATTACATCCTCGCAGTGATGTTGACCAGCTCTATCTGCCTAGAAAGTCTGGTGGCAGAGGACTTTTACAAGTAAAACAAGCAGTCGAAGAAGAAAAACATGCCCTGGCAGAATATGTCAAGGAAAGCTAAGAACCTGCTTTAATTGAAGTCAATAATCGGAAACTTCTCAAAGCACAGCAGACAAAGAGTCAGTACAAGAAAACTGCATTCCAAACCAGAGCTGACAGCTGGCACAACAAAGCCTTACATGTGCAGTTCCTTGAGAAGATTGAAGGAAAAGTTGACAAGGAGAAGACCTGGTTATGGCTCATGAATGGAACCCTGAAGAAGGAGACAGAAGGTCTGATTCTTGCTGCCCAGGAGCAAGCCATCAGAGCCGGCGTTTGAAAACTATAAACATCGATAAAATCACAATCTGTCAACTGCAAAAGGCCACCTTACTTGGATCTGTGTGTATCATTTGAAAATACATCATGCTTGGGAAGTATTTGACTTGTGATTTAGTGATACGAAATCCAGCATATAGATCTCATTTGCTGTGACATACTGTGTTTTTGTGTCAATAATAATAATAAATGAAAGAAAGTGGTTTTTCTGAGAAGATGATTATACAGGGAATCTGGAACCAGTTTGAGGCCCAAATGGTGATTATCCAAACCCCACAGAACTGATGCGCATTAAGGGCTTGCTTTCATAGAATTTAGATGTCTAGCTGCCAGTTTGAAATTAGATTTGAACTGCATTAAATCATCAGAGTAGAGGGGCCAAAGAGTTAGCAGCAATTTAATGGCATACATTTTCATGGGCCAGAGCTGACACAAGAATGTGTGCAATAAAGGTTACAAAGAAGATTGATGATTCAAATGACTATGCAATATTCTGAAATGCAAAATCCAAACCATTCCAAATGGATCTGACTTGCTGTCAATGGCAGTCACCTGTATTAAAGCTGTGTAAAGACAATATTTGCTAGCAACAGGCAACGTGGTAACCGCCACATATTTTGCACTAAAATGCCCACCAGTCATGCTAGTTGTTACTGGTGAATGTTGCAGCCCAAAAATCAATCAGTCAGCCAATCAATCAATCAATCAATCAATTTGGAGGGCATTAGGTGGCTTAATCCAGTATAGTTATATACCAAAATTGGAATAATTATTTTCTATAGAGCAAGCATGGGCAAACTTCAGCCCTCCGGGTGTTTTGGATTTCAACTCCCACAATTCCTAACAGCCAGAAAGCTGTTAATAATATTATAAATATTACATGTACATACAATATACTGTATTATATTATTAGTAAAGACAGAAGATAAGATGGAAATGACTTCTGCTCCCCTCTGTCTTTGCTTGTTTACAGTGAACTCTGCAGAAAACGCATCAGCTGTATTCCATAAAAAGGAAAATCAGCTTGGGTTGCTGTGAGATTGATTTTTTATTTATTTATTTATTTATTTATTTATTTACATCACTTATATCCCACCCATATCAGCCCGCAGGTGACTCAGGGCGGTCTACATATCAGCACAATTCGATGCCATCAATACAATACAAAAGCAGAAACAATTAAGTGCATTTAGACAAAAAAGACAGTGCAATAACAATTTAAAAAGAGCTATATCCTCTCATTCCAATCCTCATCCGTTTTATCGTCTTGGCCGTTCCTGGGTCATTCTCCATCTCAAGCTTGACTATTCCAGGGTTCCGAATGCCTGCTCGAAGAGCCAGGTTTTCACACTCTTACGAAAGGTCAGGAGGGAGGGGGCTGATCTAATATCCCTAGGCAGGGAGTTCCACAGCCGAGGGGCCACCACAGAGAAGGCCCTGTCCCTCGTCCCCACCAAGCGTGCTTGCGAAGCAGACGGGATCGAGAGCAGGGCCTCCTCAGATGATCTTAACTTTCTGGAGGGTTCGTAGGAAGAGATGCGTTCGGATAGGTAGGCTGGGCCAGAACCGTTTAGGGCTTTATAGGCTAAAGCCAGCACTTTGAATTGGGCCCGGTAGCAAACTGGCAGCCAGTGGAGCTGATGCAGAAGAGGAGTTGTGTGCTCCCTGAGCGCCGCTCCTGTTAGCAACCTGCACGCTGAACCATTTGAAGCTTCCGTCTTCAAAGGCAACCCCACGTAGAGTGCGTTGCAGTAATCTATGTGGGATGTAACCAGAGCGTGGACTACCGTGGCCAAGTCAGACTTCCCAAGGTACGGGCGCAGCTGGCGCGCAAGTTTTAACTGTGCGAATGCTCCCCTGGTCACCGCCGAAACCTGGGGTTCCAGGCTCAGCGATGAATCCAGGATCACACCCAAGCTGAGAACCTGCGTCTTCAGCGGGAGTGTAACCCCATCTAACACAGGCTGTAACCCAATGCCCTGTTCGGCCTTTCGACTGACCAGGAGTGCCTCTGTCTTGTCTGGATTCAGTTTCAATTTGTTAGCCCTCATCCAGTCCGATACAGCGGCCAAGCACCGGTTCAGGACCTGAACAGCCTCCTTAGTAGTAGGTGGGAAGGAGTGACAGAGTTGGACATCATCTGCGTACAGATAACACTGCACCCCGAAACTCCGGATGATCTCCCCCAGCGGCTTCATGTAGATGTTAAACAACATGGGGGACAGTATAGAATCCTGAGGAACCCCACAAGACAATGGTCGTGGGGCTGAACAGGTGTCTCCCAATGACACCATCTGGGTACGACCCTCCAGAAAGGACTGGAGCCACTGTAGAACAATGCCTCCAAGGCCCATTCCAGCAAGGCGTCCCAGAAGTATACTGTGGTTGATGGTATCGAAGGCCGCTGAGAGGTCCAGCAGAACTAACAGGGACACACTCCTCCTGTCTAGCTCCCGGCGAAGATCATCCACTAAGGCGACCAAGGCTGTCTCGGTACCATGTCCTGGCCTAAAGCCAGACTGTGCCGGATCCAGATAATCCGTGTCTACCAAGAATACCTGGAGTTGTGAGGCCACCACACGTTCCAGGACTTTGCCCAAAAAGGGGAGATTGGAAACAGGCCGATAGTTGACGAATTGAGTGGGGTCCAGTGATGGTTTTTTCAACAGCGGTTTTATTACAGCTTGTTTTAAGCTCGCTGGAATTTTGCCTTCCCAAAGGGAAGCATTAACCACCACCTTCACCCACTCAGCCAATCCCCCTCTGGCCTCCTTTAGAAGCCAGGATGGGCAGGGGTCCAGGATGCATGTGGTTGCCCTCATTCCTCCAAGTATCTTGTCCACATCCTCGGGTTTCACCAATTGAAATGAATCCATCAAAATCGGACAAGCAGGTGCTCGTGTTACATCCTCAGAGACCGCCGTTAACATGGTATCCAGGCCAGAACGGATCAAAGCGACTTTGTCCGCAAAGAACTGAGCAAATGCTTCACAGTGGGCCGTCGAGTTGTCAGGGTTATTATTATTTATTATTATTATTTGCTTTATTTTTATACCGCATTTTTCAGCCTAATTCGGCGACTCAATGCGGTTTACAATACAATTTATATAACAATAACAATTAGTTAAAACACAACATACACGACAGACAATACAAGCAACACAACATAGTCATCAACGCCTCAGTAAAAATCAGATTCCGTTCTCATAATCCTTCCACCGTTCCTTTGTTCATTTATACCGTCTTCATGAGTTCAGTTGCATTGTTAGCCGAACGCTTGTTCATAGAGCCACGTCTTGACCTTCCTCCGGAACGCCAGCAACGAAGGGGCCTGCCTGATGTCTACGGGTAGGGCATTCCATAGCCGAGGGGCCACCACCGAGAAGGCCCTGTCCCTCGTCCCCGCCAGCCGCGCCTGTGACGCAGGCGGGACCGAGAGCAGGGCCTCCGGACGATCTTAACGTCCTCGTCGGTTCATAGGTGGAGATGCGTTCGGAGAGGTAAGTGGGGCCGGAACCGTTTAGGGCTTTATAGGCTAAATCCGGAATGGTGGGATTTAATAGACCTTGATCAGGTCAGTAAATAATAGCCTTGATCAGGTCAGTAAATAAAGAACAACGCTCAGAAATTAGGGGAATTCCAGACAGGAAACAATCAGGGCCAGCTAACATCTCCCAACAAAGGATTCCCCCAAGTAGGAAGAACCCAGGTTTGAAGCTGCAAGGCTAATCAAGATGGCCAATTGCAACATTCACACTTGCCATAAGCAGACAAGAGTTTTTTCTCCCACCCTGGATATTTCACAGATATATAAACCCAACTTGCCTAGTTTCCAACTGACTTCACAACCTCTGAGGATGCCTGCCATAGATGTGGGTGAAACGTCAGGAGGGAATGCTTATGAAACATGACCATATAGTCCAGAAAACTCATCGCAACTCAGTGATTCTGGCCATGAAAGCCTTTGACAAAACAAATGCTGAAAACAATTATTATTATTATTATTATTATTATTATTATTATTATTATTATTATGTGTATTTATACCCTGCTTTATCTCTCCCGAAAGAGACTCAAGGCCAGTTTGAAACTGTGTGAAATGGTCTGTGTAAATGTGCCCTAAGTGTATATCATAAGGTTTGGATAATAATAATAATAATAATAGTTTTCAGCAAACAGTTTATTCTGATATCTTATTTATATTATATACCTATATACTTGGGGTTACATAAACATTTCTCAGGTGGAAAAAGCTTAAGAAACCTAGCTCTCTTAAGTTGTGTTGTTTTTACATTGGGATTTGGCTCAGAATTCAAATCCTTAGAGAGTTTGTCTCTGTCCTTACACATTATGAAATGGGGAAAGGAGCCCTTTGTGCGTGTGTTTGTGAGTAGGGCAGGGACTCCATTGATTTCTATTATAAATAAATAAAAATGTAATGTTCGTTAGTGGGATTTAACATAACTCAAAAATTACTGGATGAACTGACACCAAATTTGAACACAATACACGTATTAGGCCAATGAGTGATCACCACTCATAAAAACACTGAAAAACACAGCAGAAGAGACTTACAAGCAAAAAACAAAACAAAACAAAAACAAACAAACAAAGCATGCACAAAACCACACACACATATATACCTCACCTGATAGAGGAAATTGAGTCTCTGAAAGGCTTCTTTGTCCTTTATCATGGTTGCTGGGGAAATAATATATTCCAAGATTTGCAGTGAATGTGGGAGAGACGATCAGAAAGTGATCCTGCGGGAAGCAAGCGTTTTCGCAAAAGGACAAAGATCAATAATGAGCAGTGAAAGGTTTGAAACATTGCAACACAATCACTTTTGAGTCCGAGGGTGCATCTACAGCAGGCATGGGCAAAGGGCCCAAGTTTGCCCATGCCTGATCTGCACAGTAGAATTAATGCAGTTTGACACCAATTTAATTGGTCTTGTTGCATGAAACCCCCCTGGGCAAAATTGTTATTTGTTCCTTTTGTGCCTGCAGCAGAGAGTTCCAAAGGCTTTGGACCAGTGGTTCTCAATCTAGGGTCCCCAGATGTTTTTGGCCTTCAACTCCCAGAAATCCTAACAGCTGGTAAACTGGCTGGGGTTTCTGGGAGTTGTAGGCCAAAAACATCTGGGGACCCCAGGTTGAGAACCACTGCTTCAGACACTTAAAGTATTCTGGTCTCACTGCCAGGGGTTGCTTCCTTAATTGGGGCCAACAGCCTGGCTCAATGCTATGGAATCCTGGGAGCTGTAGTTTGGTGAGGCACCAGCACTCTTTGGCAGAGCAGGCTAAAAGACCTTGCAAAACTACAGCTCCCTAAAATTCCATACCATTGAGCCATGGCAGTTAAAGCAGTATCAAACTGCAGTGGAGATGCAACCCATCCTACAGAGAACAAAACAAAACAAATAAGCAAGCACACAGGTCTTTCAAGCAATAGACTGCTACAGATCAGGGCTGCAACCCTGTGCAATATATACAAGCACGTGGGAATGCAATACACGTGTAAAAACAACTCAGATACAGAACCTGCTGCTGCAGCCAAAGCAACGCAGATCTGATGCTTTTTAAGGACTTCCTTGCCTTTTAATTCTCCTAGAAGAATCCACTTTGCTTTTCCTCCAGTTGAACCTTAAACCCAGGGATGAGAAAAAAGTTTCTCTCTTTGATTAGTCGCCTTAATAAAGATCCTGGTTGGGATGTGTTCCTGTTTTTGGAGCAGCAAAGGCCTGTGGGAAATGTAGTCCCTTCTGGTTCCTTCCAATGAAACTGTTTGTGCAAGGATGCCCTCTAGCCAGGAGGACTAATAATATACCAGGGTTGAATGAAAAGTAATGCCTCCACCTTGGTTACTTGGGTTTCGATGGGAATATTTTAATAAATCAAACGCAGAAATAATCCTTAGAATGTGCTCTTTAAGTACCATTATTCACTTTTCCACATAATCACCGGACAATTGGATACATTTCTGCCAACGATGAACAAAGTTTTCTGAAGCCGTCACGGAACAAGTCGACACTGTTTCCGCAACCAGCGTCTCACAGTTCTCTCAACATCTTCATCAGAAACATAATGATGTCCCCGCAGATCTTCCTTCATTATCGGAAACAGATGGAAGTCAGCCAGTGCTAAATCTGGACTGTATGGAGGATTGTGTCCAATTCTGGGCACCACAATTCAAGAGAGATATTGACAAGCTGGAATGTGTCCAGAGGGGAGAGCGACTAAAATGATAAAAGGTCTGGAGAACAAGCCCTATGAGGAGCGGCTTAAGGAGCTGGGCATGTTTAGCCTGAAGAAGAGAAGGCTGAGAGGAGATATGATAGCCATGTATAAATATGTGAGAGGAAGTCACAGGGAGGAGGGAGCAAGCTTGTTTTCTGCTTCCCTGGAGACTAGGACGCAGAACAATGGCTTCAAACTACAAGAAAGGAGATTCCATCTGAACATGAGGAAGAACTTCCTGACTGTGAGAGCCGTTCAGCAGTGGAACTCTCTGCCCCGGAGTGTGGTGGAGGCTCCTTCTTTGGAAGCTTTTAAACAGAGGCTGGATGGCCATCTGTCAGGGGTGATTTGAATGAAATATTCCTGCTTCTTGGCAGGGGGTTGGACTGGATGGCCCATGAGGTCTCTTCCAACTCTTTGATTCTATGATTCTATGGTGGGATCCTGTCTCTGAAGTTCTGCAGTGTACCCATCTTGCACAGATCTTCTGATAGCCAAGCAAAGCAATAATGTGACCCACACGTTCTTGTGAAATACCGATTATGCTTGAAATTTCTCTCTGAGTGATACGACGATCATCCTGAATCAATCTGTCAACCTTTTGCTTGTGAAACTCAGTGGTTGCTGTCACAGGACGTCCAACTCTTTGTTTGTCACGCAAATCAGATGTTCCCACCTCAACATCTTTAAACTTACTTGGCCAACGAGGCACAGTACTCACATCAACACAATCACCATAAACAGCTTGCATTATCTGATGAATCTCCTTTGGGGTGACACCTTCGGCTGTCAAGAATTCAATGACTGCACGTTGCTTAAGTTGCATTGACTGACCGTCTGAGCAGGGTTCCATACTTTGCATTTTAACAAAGTATGAATGCTAAGGCTTTCTGCCAAAATGGAACTGTAGAGGAGAGTCTACTGAACAAGCCAGTACCTGCCGCATACCAGTACTGCCATCTGTTGAGAAGTTACAAAGGTGGAGGCATTACTTTTCATTCAACCCTAGTATGTATCTAGATCTGCAAGCTTTTTATGCTGCAAGCAGATACTTTGCATCTACACCTTAGAATTAATGCAATGAGTGGATCTGCGCTGTAGAATGAATGCAGTTTGACACCACTTTAACTGCCATGGCTCAATGCTATGTACAATGGGAGCTGGAGTTTTGTATGGTCTTATAACAGATTTTTTTTCTCCCCATGTCAGGAGCTACTTGAGAAACTGCAAATGGCTTCTGATGTGGATGTCCTTAAGTATTTTCTGTCAGTCATGGGGGTTCTGTGTGGAAAGTTTGCCCAATTCTGTCATTTGTGAGGTTCAGAATGCTCTTTGATTGTAGGTGAACTATAAATCCCAGTAACTACAACTCTCAAATGTCAAGGTCTATTTCCCCCAAACTCCATCTGTGTTCATATTTGGGCATATGGAATATTCATGCCAAGTTTGGTCCAGATCCATCATTGTTTGAGTCTTGATGTAGGTGAACTACAACTCCCAAACTCAAGGTCAATGCCCACCAAACCCTTCCAGTATTTTCTGTTGGTCATGGGAGTCATGTGTGACACATTTGATTTAATTCCATTGTTGATGGAGTTCAGAATGCTCTTTGATTGTAGGTTAACTATAAATCCCAGCAACTACAACTCCCAAATGACAAAATTAATTTTTGAGTGATAGTCACTTGGGTTAGTAGGTGTCTTGTGGCCAAATTTGGCGGCAATTCGTCCAGTGGTTTTTCAGTTATGTTAATCCCACAAACAAACATTACACACAAACACACACACACAAACACATGTATACACACACACACACACACACACACACATACATATATATACACACACACATACATCATGTTCACTGCTCAGTTTGGGTCCCCAGATGTTATTGAGTGGCAAGGAGCCTCTGGTAGTGCAATTTATTAAAACCTTGTGATCTGGGTCCATTGTTAAAATGAATGAAAATTAGCTCTATACAAACTTAAGAAACTAACACCAGAATTAAAAGTCCAAACTATGTCAGTATTGTAAGTTCTGAACTATGATTTGCAGAGAACATATGCTTCAGGCTACAGCTGGAGTTATAATTCACAGCATTATCACATGCTTGTCATCCCATGACTGATAAAAGGAGAATGGAGTTGAGAAGCAGGTGAGAGTAGTTCTGAACATGGCCTTGCTCATTTCATGCATGTGTGGTTCTCTTTCCCTGAACCTCACAACACATTATCTCAGTTCAATGCTATGGAATCATAGGAGTTTCAGTTTTACTACCTCTTTAGTCTTTCCTGCCAAAGCGTTCTGGTGCCTCACCAAACTACCCATCACAGAATCCCATAACGCTGAGCTGTAGCAGCTATAAAGTGGTGTACAAACTGCATTGATTCTGCAGTGTAGATGCACATGAGGACATGAAAAAATGGATTTAAAGTATATGAAAAGGGATTCCACCTAAAATTAGGATTTATTTCGTATCAAAAGCATTGTATACATTAGAATAAAACTGATAAAAATAGGAGTGTAGGCAGCTAAATATCTTTTGACCAAAAACAGGCAACAGCAACAGTATTGTCTGTAGCCTCCAACAATTTTTTCTCTGTACATGAGGCAGGGCATAGTGGACAAGCCTACAGATGCGGAGTTGTCTGTTCTGCTCCACAGTCACACAAGATGTGGGATTCTTTTAGGTAGTGTCATTTTGCCAAGTTGTCTTTTGATCTGCCCACTCCACTTCAGAGTCTGTTCAGGGACTTCCAAATTGCCCATTCTTGGTTTGTCCCTGGAAGAAGACCCTCATGGGGGGCCATCCAGTTGGGGTTTCCTGTTTAGCTGCCCAGAGGGATACCCTTGCGTTGCTGGGGGGATGCCAAGAGGAGTGGTGATCCTCATGAACCTTTTCCTTGATTTGAGTCTACTGGGAGGAGGCTGATAGCCATGTAGTCGGTGGTTTTCACAGTGTTCAACCTTATTTCTCTCACATTTAGCAACAACTTCCCGTCACCCATCGGGGGGTGGGGCAATGCCAGCTAGCTTGTAGAGTTTATCAACAGGTGTAGGTTTAAGACATCCTGTGATTATTCTGCATGTTTCGTTCAATGCTATGTTCACCTGCTTTGCATGGGCAGACTTATGCCAAACAGGGCAGGCATACTCAGAAAGAGCCTCCTTGAAGACTGAGTAAATACAGTCGGGAGTCCCCCAGGCAACGTTACTTGTAAACGGCTAATCTTTCCAAATCCAAAAGCATTGCTTTAAAACATCTGAAACCTAAAATTAGGATGATAAGATCTGTTCAATAGCAGAATGGGATATAGCAGAGTTGTTGTGACTCAGCTGGAACCACAGACACAGACTGATAGTGTTGTGACTCAGATGGGGTCTCAGAGTGACTCAGAAAAGGAGGACAGTTCTCAGCCTGATAGTAGGCAGGAAGGCAACCAGGCTGACACTAACGAGCAGCCTCACCTTGATGAAATGGGAATCTTAGATCGGGCTGACCGTTTGGAATTCAGAGTTCGAAGGAGTGTGAGAATAGCCAACAAGAAGGAGGTCAGAGGCCAAATAAATGCTTTCATGTATTGCAAAGGGTATTAAGCAGTGTGTTTGAAAACAAACCTTTGTCAGAGCAACTTCTTGCTCAACCAAGCAGCTTGTGCTCGTTTTCCTGTGTCCATGGTCTTGGGATTTTGTCATGTTCTCATGGGATTTTGTTTTGTTGGTACCATTTGGAATTGTGCTTTATAGTGCTATGTTTTATTTATCTTTGGAACATTATTTGCTTTTTAAACTTTTCATCTTTACTTTTTGATAAACTACAAAAACTTCTGTCTGTGTGCAGTTCTGGTGATTTCAGCAAGGTGAATCTATTCTGAGGTGCAACAAGAGTCTCCTTCTGTGGAGGTTTTAAAATAGAAGCTGGATGGCCATCTGTCAGGAGTGCTCAGACCCTATATTCTTGCATGACAGAACGAGATTGGACTGAATGACTCTTGATGTTTCTTCCAATACTGTATTCTATGATTTCCAGCAATCAAAGATGTTCTGAGGTTCTCCCTGGTGAAACGACCATCACAAATCAAGGTCCAAGCTGCGTTTCAATTCACACTTTACATACTTCATAATTAGGAGCTGAGACTACATTTGCACCTGAGACTTCCTTTCATGTTATGATACCACTTGGTATCATAATATGAAGTTTTTGTTTTTGTAGGCTTTGGCCTTCATTCTTGGGGCCTACCAAGTCACTCATGATAAGACTTCTCCACACATACAAACACTGTTGACTCAGGAGCAAATATTGCTGCATATAATCATTGACTGCGTGTTTGTTTCTCTCAAGTTGAGAAGTTCTGTTGAAGATGAGGTGTTCCACACTTCTCTGGACTGAACTGTGAATTTGGCTGAGAATTTCCGAATTCTACATTGTGTACATAGGAGGTGAGACTTTTCATTTCCTCCTTTCTGTGTGTGGCATCCAAATGCATGAAGGTTACATGTGTGATATGATGAGGAACCTCTAATTCAGAGCTTTCTAAACTGTGTGTCATTACATGTTAGAGTGTCGGATGCAGCATGTAGCTTGAGAAACCTCTCAAGTCTATGAAAAATAAGCAACAAATCATATATTTTWAAAATATACATGAAAAGTTTTTGTGAGGTGTATTGTGGCCCCATATATTTCATCATTATAATTTATGTATGTGTCCATGTCTCCTATAAACAGTCGGTTTAACTTTTGATTTGCCAACAAAGGTATTTCAAAGCAATTCCAATTTTGGATGTGTGTGTACTGGGGGGGGGGGGGCACACACAACAAGATGGAAAAAATGGCAATGAAGCAAGAGAGTGTTGTTGGTCTTAGTGTTGTGTGCTTTCAAGTAGTTTCTGGTTTATGACAACCCTAATGATTTTCTCAGATTTGTTCAGAAAGAGTTTGCCTTTGGTCTTTCTCATGGGCTTAGAGAAAGTGCGCGCCCAAGTTCACTGTCTGGGGCTCCTTCCACAACAGCTGAATACAATACTGCATTTTCTGCTTTGAACTGAAATATATGGCAGATAATGCAGTTCAAAGCAGATATTGTGGGGTTTTCTGCATTGATATTCTGGGTTATAGGGCTGTGTGGAAGGGCCCTGGGTTTCCATGCCCAAGTAGGAATTTGAATCTTGTTAGGAATTTGAATCTTGGACCAGAGCCATGGTTCAAAGGTACACCATATAGGTGCCCCTTGCACAGTTCTGGGAATCTTGAAGAGCTCCTTTAAAGCTATCCAAAACTTAGACTGCATCTATAGACCCAATGACATGGGAGCTGTAATCTAAAAATGCTGGGTGGTGAAAAACCTCAAATCATGCAGCATATTTGATCTTCCATTAAACCACTGAGAACTGTTTCTTTTCAGTTGCTGAGTTCTGATCCAAAGTGGTTGCCTCCTCCATGTGACATCCTCTCAAACATTTAAACATGGCTACCGTGTCCCCTCTTAACCTTCTATTCTTCAAGCTAAACATACCCAGCTCCCTTAGCTCCTCCTCCTCAAAGGGATTCATGGTCTCCAAACCTTTGATCATTTTGGTCACCCTTCACTGGACACATCCCAGATAGTCAATATTTTTCTTAAGTTTTGGTGCCCAGAACTGGACACAGTATTCAGTGGCTCTATTTGAGTTGGGACTATTAATTGAATTTATTTCTCAGAATCCAAGAGGTCTGAAATTACTAGGAACATGTTGTGGCACACATATAGGTGCTCAGTCCTGCAAAGGGATACTTTTCAGTAGTGGCCCCCCAACTATGGAACTCCCTCCCCAGGGGTATTAGATCGGCCCCCTCCATCCTGACTTTCCGGAAAAAAAGTAAAGACCTAGCTATTCAAACAAGCTTTTGAGAATGCAGCGGAATAGATAACATGAAACTATGAATGATGAACATGGAATGGCCAGACGATGTTACTGGGTAACGTTTTTAACAGGATGATACCGATGATTATATGTTTTAATGGTTTTTATATATGTTTTATATTGTCATGTTGATTGTTTTAATTGCACTTTTATGAATGCCTGGCATCGAATTATGCCTATTTGTAACCGGCCTTGAGTCAGCATATGGCTGAGAAAGGCAAGCTATAAATATCGGAAATAAATAAATAAATACATTCCAAATTGCCATAGTATTCTAAACATGTCATAACATCAATTCTCCCAGTTTGGGTATCAAGATAATTTACAATGGTTAAAAACTCTAACTCTGTCCTGTTGGTTCCTCTCCTCAGCCTGGTGAAATGTCCATGCGAATCACCAACACCCGACTTCTCCTGGCCTCAGTGTTGCTCTTGCTCTTCTTCTACTCTCCTTGGAAAAGACTGGAAACCCACAAAGAAGAACAAAAAACTTCAGCTCCCCGCAAAATCCATGTGCTGATCCTCTCCAGTTGGCGTTCAGGGTCCACCTTTGCAGGGCAACTCTTCAACCAGAACCCAAATGTCTTCTATCTGATGGAACCAGCCAAACACTTGTGGAACAGCATGCGCTGGGGGAGCCCCAAGCTCATTCAGGGGGCCATGCGGGACTTGCTACGCTCTGTCTTCCTATGTGACATGGAGGCCTTCCGCTTCTACATCCCAAACGTTAGTAAGGTCTCTCATCTTTTCATGTGGCCCATGAGCAAGGGACTGTGCTCTCCACCAGCCTGTGAAGCCTTCAGCCGCTTTGACATTGTGGACAAAATGGAGTGCACTGCTCAATGTGGCCATGCCCCCTTTGACAAGATTTCTGAAGCCTGTGGTACCTACAGCCATGTGGTAGTGAAGGTAGTTCGCCTCTTCCAACTGGAAGTTCTGTATCAACTCATGAGAGACCCCTCCCTCCACCTTTACATTATTCATCTTGTCAGAGATCCTCGGGCAATCTTTGCCTCGCGCCGCTCTATCTCTCTTCTTGATGATAATCAGTTCATCACAAAGACCACCAACAGCAATCCTGACATCCGGAGGGTCATGTACAAGGTCTGCCACAGCCAAGTTGAGATGTACTTCACAGCTTTGTACCATATGCCCTCAGCTTGGAGGGGACGCTATCTCCTAACACGTTATGAAGACCTGGTGGGAGACCCCTTGGGGCACCTAGCCAAGTGGTACAATTTCACAGGCCTAACTTCTACCCCCAAACTTCAGAAATGGGTCTACAACATAACTCACTGGCCCACCAGCAGTGAGCGTAAGGACCCTCTGAGTATACAGAAAAATGCCAAATTCGTTTCCCAGGCATGGAGGCAGCAACTCAGCTTCCAGAAGGTCCGAGATGTTCAAGCCATCTGCAAAGAAGCCATGGAAGTCTTTGGTTATAAACTAATGACATCTGAGGAGGAACAGAGGGATCTGACTTTGGACTCTTTCCTTCCTGTAAGTGAAATGAAATCTTCTGCAAAACAGCCACATGTATAACAAAACAAGGGCGAGCAGACAGGGTCAAATCTAGCTTTACTATCTGAAGGGATGGTTTGTTTAGGAAAAGGAAGAACTCAATTGCTAATAAGAGGAACACACTGAGCTGCTTTATGCTGCATCAAGCCAACGGTCCCCTATCCCAAGATCCGGCAACACTGGCTGGCAGTGGTGGTTTTCCAGGGTTTCAGAAGATTCTTTCCCATTTCTATCAAAAGATGCCTCCAGTTTTCTGTTGGCTTCATGATTACATAGATGGAAAACACAAAGTTGTGTCTAGGCTTAGGTGGTTATCTTTGTAGGAATTGGAGAGATATTTCAGGACATTAATAAGTTGGCTTTCAACTGTTTCAAAGTTGCTACCTGGGAAGGCCAAGAGCTTGAACACTGTTCCCACTCTACATATCTCAGCATCACCTTAGACTGAATGCTAACATTTAGGAAAAACTGTGTGAACACTAAGCACAAAGCAGCTGCACATAATGGCATCCTGCGGAAACTTACTAATAGCGCATGGGGTGCAGACCCAAAATTAATAAGAACATCAGCACTGGCCTTGTCTTACTCACCTGCTGAGTATACCTTCTCTCTGGCACTTCACTTAGGCGATCCCTCGTAGTCCGAGGATGATGGTCCTCCAAGATCGGTATACTGGCGGTGGGTCCGTAGGTGACTGTGGAGCCCTATTCTTGACCTGCATGTTCTCCCGCAGTGAGGACATCGGTTTCCAGACAGAAGGCGGTCCCGTTCAGGGTTGGCTTGATGTGCCTTCCTCTTGGCATGTTTCTCTCTTTTGCCCTCCATTCATGCCTCTTCAAATTCTACAGCACTGTTGGTCACAGCTGACCTCCAACTGGAGTGCTCAAGGGCCAGGGCTTCCCAGTTCTCAGTGTCTATGCCAGAGTTTTTAAGGTTGGCTTTGAGCCCATCTTTAAATCTCTTTTCCTGCCCACCAACATTCCATTTTCCGTTCTTGAGTTCAGAACAGAACACTGCTTTGGGAGATGGTGATCGGGCATCCAAACAACATGGCCGGTCCAGTGGAGTTGATGGCAGAGGACCATCGCTTCAGTCATGGTGGTCTTTGCTTCTTCCAGCACACTGACGTTTGTCCGCTTGTCTTCCCAAGAGATTTGTAGGATTTTTGGAGGCAGCACTGATGGAATAGTTCCAGGAGTTGTATGTGACATCTGTAGACTGTCCATGTCTCACAGGAGTATAGCTGAGTTGAGGGGAACAATAGTTTTATAAACAAGCACCTTGGTATCCCTACGGATGTCCCAGTCCTCAAACACTCATTCAGAAAAATGCTGCACTCGCAGAGATCAGGCAATGTTGAATTTCAGAGTCAGTGTTGACTTTTGTGAGGATGTGGCTTCCAAGGTAGCAGAAATGATCAACATTTAATTAAGCTGTATCTCTGGCATTGGAGAGAAATTGGCCGGTGACTGCAGGAAGAGTGATGATGCTGGCATCCTTGAAATCTGCTGGGATTTTCTCGGTCACCCACACTTCTTGAATGAGCTGGTGGAGTTGTTATGTCAGCTCAGGTCCTCCCTCTTTAAAGATTTCAGCAGGAATCCCATCAGGTCTGCTAGCTTTGTTATTTTTTTGTTGGCTGATGGCATTGCTGACTTCTTCCAAACTAGGCAGTGCTGCAAGCTCATCCCATTCGGGGGATGGAGAGTTCAGTTCACTTTATTTCTTAATTGGTCGCTCTCCACCAAGGTGTTCCGTGCAACTTACAATCTAAAATAGCATTTACACAATATAAAAACATTCAGCATAAAAACATTCAACAGTGACTATTTGGCAAATTAGATCTGATTACTTAAATGCACAACCAAACACCCAAGTCTTGAGTGCCTTTACAAAAGGTTGCAACTCCGACATTGCTCTAACGTATGGAGGCAATGAAATGAGTTCCACAGAATTGGAGCATAGGCCGAAAAAGCATCTGACCGAAGTGGTGCTTCGGTCAGATGCTTCACCAGATCATTTCTGATAGCAAAGCCAACTCCATGCATTCTTTGGTCTTCTTTGGGCAGTCCCTTCCAGAAGAAGGTGTAGCCTCCTTTATCTTCCTTCACCTGTCCCTCTCCTGCTCTCTGGGTCTCCTGAAGTGTTGCTTTTGCTCCCTTGCAATGATAGCACTTCTGTGTTTGGGGCGTTCACTGTCAGTGTTGTCCATCAGTGTCCGTATGTTCCATGTTCCAAATGTCATTTTTCTTTTTTCGGCTGCAGGGTGGTGACCCCACTGGACACGGCAGTCCAGTCAGGGATAAGAGAGGCAGACTATGTTTAGGGCACCTTTTCTAGCTCCTTCCCCATGTGGGGTGAGCAAAGTGGATCCTCAAAAGGGCTTCTCAGTCATGGATACAGCTGCCAAACTACTCAACTGCCTCAGACCTTGAGGTAGAATGACTGAGTCCGTACCCACTGCCCATGTGCCAGTCTGTGACTAGGCCAGGGCTTCCAGATTTCACAGTCCTGCCCCCATTGCCACTCCCTGATCACCATGGGACTTGTGTTGGTTTGTTTTTATTTTTCTTGGAAGATGCCTCTGCGTGAAATTTTAATCTGCCCACACTAAGCAGGTGAATATAGCACTAAATGAGACATGTAGAATAATCACAGGATGTCTTAGCTCTACACCTGTTGATAGACACTATAAGTTAGCTGGCATTGCCCCCCCCCCCCTCATGTCGATGGGAACTTACTGCCAATTGTGAGAGAAATAAGATTGAACACTGTGAAAGCCACCCACTATATGGCTATTAGCCTCCTCCGAGTAGACTTAAATCAAGGAAAAGTTTTTGGGTTATATGGCAATTTTGTAATTTTAGTATTTAAAATTCTCCATTAGATGCTCCATGAGTCTTTGGACTGCATGGAAAGATACAAATCAGGAGTAGAAGTCCTGAGGTCTTCCAAATGTTGCTGGGTTGGCATATAATGTGAATGAAAGATGCAGCTGTATGCTGAACTGTTTTAGTGAGCTTGATCAACTCTATCTTGATGATTGCTGACATTTCTCTATGGTCTGTATTTCTTGCTGAGCTCTGTCATTTGTGCTATGTTAGAAATGCTGTAAATGCAATATTAAGTGCCCAGTGCCAAGAGTCAGGTGTTATACCAATGCCAGAGGAGAAACATCCTCTTAAACAACAAACAAGCTCTAGTTACATTTTGTGCTGGTCATATATGCCTCAGATGTGAGGGCGATCTGGATGCAACATCTATTACCCCATTAATCGTCAGGGTTGATCTGGCTGATCTGGCTGGCTAGGTGGGTTTCCCCTTCCTCCCTCACTGCTCCATGTATGTCCCTCCCAAAGCTGCACACTTGGTGGAAGTGGACAATATCTTAGGTATAGAAAGAGTGTACCGAGGTCTTCAGTCTTCGATCTCGGGTATACAATAGCTGTGCTCCCCTGCTAGAACCTCCAAACAAGCTCAAGGTCCAGTCAAGCTTCCAAGACTCCAGATATATCTGAGATAAGGATTACCATGTATGCTTTATATGATTTTATATTGTTCCTGAGTACTTTGTCGCTGTTGCTGTAACTCTGAAGTTCTATAAAACACTGATTCTTACAATAAACTTTATCTATCTTGACTACTGCTATCAGTTTGTTGTCTGTTTGTCTTTCTGCTCAGTTTCAAGGGTTATCCCAGCTCCATGTTTCACTTGGAAAACACAGCAGGTCTGGTTATGTCATTCCTATTCAACAGTTAGACTATAACTTTTAGCATTTATCACCTTTGGCTATAGGAGCCCCCGGTGGTTAAATGGGTTAAACCCTTGTGCCGGCAGGACTGCTGACCTAAAAGCTGGTGGTTCAAATCCAGGGAGTGGGGTGAGCTCCTATCTGTCAGCTCCATCTTTCCATGGGGGACATGAGAAAAGCCTCCCACAGCATGATAAAACATCCGTGCAGCCTCTGGGCAATGTTCTTGTAGATGGCCAATTCTCTCACACCAGAAGCAACTTGCAGTTTCTCTAGTCATTCCTGGCACAAAACAAAACAAAACAAACCCCTTTGGCTATACTGATTAGGGCTGCTGGGACCAAAAGTCCAGTATCTGGAAGTCTGCATGATCGTCACCATTGGTATAAGCCCAGAGGAAGAAACAATATGCAAAACATGCTAAGCCGTATAACATATCAAGTTTTTAAAAGCTATAGCAGTTCCAAAAATGTTCTCATAAAGGTGAAGTAGCTACACCCATGATTAATTGGGAAGACACGAATTTGCTATTAGAAGTCCATTAAGCCTGGTTGCATTAAGTACACTATAGAACATTTTGTCCAGAGCAACCACTGAATATTGCTGAGATGGAGTGATACCATATACATTTACAATGCCTGTTAGTAGGATACATGGTTAAGAACAAGGGGGAAATAAAGCATGCCCCTAAGCCCTACCTCACCCCACGGGTTTAAGTTATGGTTATTCATGAGAATTACACTCGGGCAGAGCATAAATTGTATGGTTATTTTCAGAAATCTCTGTAAATATTTATTTATTTATTTATGCTATTTCTATCCCACCTTTCTTGAACCCGAAGGTGACTCAAGGCAGCTTACAACCAGGCAGCAATTTGATGCCTAACAATATACAATTAACAGAATTAAAAATACATTCAATAAAACATATAAAACCAATCTCTTCATTGTTAGTGTCATTGTCCATAAATAATCATCTGAGCCATTCCAATGTTTACTTTTGTTTCATACTGTGTTTTACTGTTGCATTAGATTCCGAAGGCTTGTCCAAATAGCCACGTTTTCACTTTTTTCCGAAGGTCAAGAGGGAGGGGGCTGAGCTAATATCCCTGGGGAGGGCATTCCACAACTGAAGGGCCACCACTGAGAAGGCCCTGTCTCTTGTCCCTGCCAGTTGTGCCTACGAAGAAGGCAGGACCGAGAGCACAGCCTCCCCGGATGATCTTAAACTCTTCGATGGTTCATAAGGAGAGATTTGTTCAGACCGGTA